AGAACACGTGATTAGCCTGACCACAACGTAAATATATTTCCACACCAAAGACCCGACACAATCCAACAACAATGAACAATCAATAATAAGTGAGTAAGTGATAATAATAAGGATAGGGGAATATATATAATCAGAAGGGGTTTTGTGAAGATTTTAGAAATCTCACTGATTGAAATAGAGTCAGTTGAAGCTAGAACACCACGGAAAACCTGGAAACACTGGACGGCCGTTTCGTCCTAGTACGGGACTCCTCAGCAGTGTACATCCACGATCTCACACCCATAAGATTCGAACCCAGGACCTATCAATCTCGCGCCAAGCGCTTAACCAACTAGACCACTGTTGGGGACTATAGATCCTCAAAACCCATATTTTGTAATTTCATCTTATCGATTAACTTATCGATTAAATGTTTAAATATTTGAATGGCAGTCAATTGATGAACTTATCGATTAAATGATTAAATAGAAGTCAGTTGACGAACTTATCGATTAAATATTTGAATGGTTGTCGTTTGATGAACTTATTGATTAATGTTTAAAAAAAAACATTTTGCCATGACAATATCGATTATAAATATTCGTATAAAGACGCTTGATTTGTGTGCCTGATTGACCTGACCTGACCTGTTATCTGCTGGTTGCCTGTAGAATACACTTCTACGTCTTACCAAGACTTCTTGATCGCGTTAGCTGAGCTGGGGACAACGGACCAGAATAGTCTATCGAGATTCTGAATCCCTTGATCCGATCGATAAGTTACTGCTGTAGTGTCAGTTATTATGGCAAGCCCATATACCTTATTCTAACTTCTGGACATCCTATTTTATTCATTTTACTTGAGCCATATTTTGACCTTGTCAATTATTCTACTTGTTTTCACGATTCACTTCATTGGTAAGCCCGCCGACGACGAACGCAACGCAGCAAGCTACGTCGATGAAGGCATTTCTGCACTCTATACGTTCGACGAACATATTCAGCGAAGCCAGTGCAATCTCCAATCCGACGCAATCAGCACAGCCTGTGCAACATGACATGGACATGCTCAAGTCGTATTATCTTATCGATACTTTGTCCTCATGTCAATTATCCTCATTGATACATTTTTCGGATTGCTCCATTACGATTCAAATTATCATTATATGCTTATTATTACATTATTATCAATATCATGACCGAATGTGGAATTATTAATCTTGTTCGTGCTGTCATTAAATTATGACATTTTCGCAATCATATTACTCACCGAACAAATTATCATTTTATGAAAATTCCACTCCACTTTGTGAGAACTCATTAGGATATTTTTACTATTCAAAAACGTGAAATTTTCCTGCTTTAAGTGAGTTCGTTCCAATTTTTTTTCATGTCATTTTGATCTAATATTACATTCATTCACTTAGTCGAGGTCCGCAATTTATGTTATCACAACATACATTTTTCATTTCGAAATCGCCTCCTATTATGTCTGTGGATGCTTCTGACTAGCTGATTAGTAACCATTACGCCCATTTTATCTATTCTTCCACGTGCGTAACTACATTCTGCATCACTTATCACTCAAAAACGCTATTCGAGTACTGCAATTTCTATTCTATACCCATCGCTCGGTATATCAGAACATAGAGTTTAGAGCTAGCCTCTCAAAGATACACTCTTGTTCGTCACATCCAAGTCAGTCTCATACGTCGCCATCGTTAACCATATGTATTAGTATTTTTGTCATGCCTTGGTACGGTTTTTTAACAAACGAGATCGAGCGCATCTCCCTCAAACCACACAAACCACTCTAGGCTTCATGACCAAAAAGGAATACGACTCTACGTACCTCGTCTACTCAGTCACCATTCTGTTCCTCTGGTCATTCTTCTACTAATACATATTCAACGATGACTTGGTGCATTTGTCACATTGCAGACGACAACATCCACTGACTTCAAATTTTATGATTATTATCAATTGCAGTACAGCAACGAATATCACCCGTCGATGCAGTTATCATTTCACGACTTGACTATTATTATCCTACGAACGGGAACAACGCATTCGAATTCACTCGTCGCTAGTCGATGCTATTTATTCTGCTGCGGCTCAACAGAATATATATTTCGCATATTTCACTATTTTGTCAGCATCACAGACCAATTTCTGTCATATTCTACTCTACCCATTTTGACGATTTATTTCGCTGTTATACCTACAAACAATTTATTACTGTTTTCACGATATTTTGAATCACTCATACAAACTTGTTATTTTATCGTTCAGACAGTCATAGAATTAGTAGATGTTAATTTTTTGTACGCTCATTAATTTGCTCATATTCGCATGTTAACGTTTCCATTTTTGTCCGAGCCTTTGCGATATTCATGTATTCTTTTGCATAAGCAGGACATTTCATATAATACACTCAACCCTCATGTGACACTGTACTTTATCGAGTGTTGTACAATTTTTTTTAACTTCATATCACTTCAGTGTTATTTTCGAAAACAGACATTTTTTAAATGTGCTATTTTCTACAAGGGGGCTATGTAGTGTCAGTTATTATGGCAAGCCCATATACCTTATTCTAACTTCCGGACATCCTATTTTATTCATTTTACTTGAGCCATATTTTGACCTTGTCAATTATTCGCTTATTAGCCTTGACTGTTTTCACATGAGCGTATATGTGTGTACACTTCATGTCCATGACTCATTGTATGTCTGTAGTTTATTTTGTCTGCCTATAAATACTGAGTAACGCTTAATTAAAATGGAGTTGGCTTCACAGCCATCCTCCCTGTGCGTCATTTTGCTGGGGCTCTGTTTCATTCACTTCATATACAAAATATATGTATTCAAATGCCATTCTCGTTAATTGACTTATTTAATTCCGTTATGGACCAACGCGATCTAAGTCGTCGATGATATACGAGAAAAGGCGATAACAAGCATCCATACAATCTAAATGGAGTCAGATCAACGGGCCACAAAACTGCCCTCTAATCGGCGGCCCTTTGAGTTATAACAACCACTGAGCTGGTATCCAAAACCCGACACAATCCAACAACAATGAACAATCAATGATACGTGAGTAAGTAATAATAAGGATAGGGGAATATATATAACTCATCTGACACCTATCAGACTACTTACATGTCTGACTAAGCAAATAACCAATTATTATCATTCTCGCTCACACATCAGATAAATCAAAACGTTTAGAAAATTTCATTATTCTAACTCTTGATTAGTTTGAACCGATTTAGAACAATAAGATTTGTAGAGTTAAAATGAATTATTTCATTTTTTAGAGATTTTCAGTTTAAAGTAGACTAGATTTTTAATGTTATTGTATTTATGTGTTTTTATTTATTTATATAGTCAATTTACAATTCAATTCCTTATTTCTCATAAGTAGTATACATTCAAATCTTTTTCATTGTGAATAAACCTACAAAAAGATCATGGATATATACACTAACTACTTATTGAAATCTATTCTGTCTCAAAGTATCCAACTTTTACGAAGAAGGGAAGCAAAGTATAACTGATTAATTCATAACCTTTATTTTCATCCCTGGTTATTTATTTTATGAAAAGTTATAAAATTTTCATAGATTATTTTGTATATATAAATGACAGTTATAATTTCATAATGGATATTTACGTATAAGGATTTCGGTATGTGGAAATTATTCTCTTAGGGATTTCATTTGTCAAATTCTATAATCAAATGATCAATTCAGTTATTTTGGCGATTATAGTAATTTTATCCCTCGATTTGGATGGTATTACAGTAATCAATAAGATGAACATTCAAAACTATAAGCAAAGCTGTATGTTAGCTAGCAGTGGAATCTAGGACACGCGTTTCGTCCCATTTAGGACTCGTCACATGAATGTACTTGCATCGAAAACAAATTTTGTAAAAATGACGATAACAAGTGAGGTTGATAAATTCCTCTAAGAAATAAAATTTACATCTTCCCATTTATTATTGACTGTAAATATTTGAGTTTTTCAGGTGTCGAATAATGTCATTCTCAGCAATTGACTGATGATAAAACAAGCATAAAAATTCATCGAAATAAACTTTACAACTCTTTGTAAAGTTGGATCCGAGACGTGCTATTCATTTTATTTGGGATTTATTAGGTGAATGTTTATAAATCCGAATGTTCATGTTCATACCAGGACTTGAACAGGGTACTTTTTGTTATAAATGCCAATACTTTATTCATTGAGCTTTTGAGTTGAGGTAGCAATTAACTTTTCCAACGGGTAAGAGTTAGTAATATCGTATTGCTAACATCATGGACTTCATTTAATCAGGTTCTATTAGCATATATACTTTAGTGGAGGCCCGTTATTAAATCGTCATTTAGATCAAACGATGTTGTCGAAAGGGCTCTCCACTTTAGTAGCCCGAGATCTGACTCCAAGGAGATTGTAATGATGATTGTTGTTGAAATATATTCGTTGCCTATCCTCGTATATAATCATTGACTTTAAACGCGTTAGTCAATAACGGATTTAGATAAGTCAAATGACGAGAATGAACTTTCGAATACATGTATTTTGTATATGAAGTGAATGTAATAGAGAGAAGAGAAACGACGCGCAGTAGAGATGGCTGGTAAACCAACTCCCATTTAACCAACCGTTAATCAGTATTTATAGTTACACAAAAGTTACAGACATGTGATTAGTAATGGGATAAGAAATGTACACAAAAAAAGTCAAGATTGATAAGCGAATAAATAACAAGGTCAGAACGTGACTCAAGTAGAAATAATAGAATGGGCTGTCTGAAAGCTAGAATAAGGTATATAGGCTTAACATAATAACCGACACTACAGTACATCCATAGCACATGACCACGATAAAGCCTTTTAATTACAAGTTTGAGTAAAGTTTACCTTTTTATTCAAGCGTATTAATACATGTTAATTTTAAATAATATAGGGAGATGCATTGTTAATATTGATATCATTATTGTTATTAGCTAACCTTCAACATCTACTTTTTGTACAACTCGTGCTTCAGATATAGGCAGTCCACCTAAATTCAAACGAATTTGTGGTGCAGGTTTTCCAGCACGTGCTTGACATTCAATATAAGTACGTTGACCAACTGATAGAGAAGTTTCATTGTCTATATGTAATTCAAGTTTTCGTATAGGATCTGATTAAATAGTTAGAAATATATTAGAAATAAGATATATACATTAAACAATTATGACTGACATTAACATACATTATCCTATAATCTATGAATGCATACAAGAATTCTTGAATGGATCTAATTTGTAATAAATGAATACAAAGTTCATAAATAAAGTAGAATTATGCTTAGTACATGTTTGTTTTAGTATGTTTAGATCAGTTTGAGTAAAATGTGGAGATATTATTTATTAATTGTTTGTACAGATCGATTTTATTTACAACATGCAATACGCAGAATCAATGTGGAAACAAACGGTAAGACTAAGATTTTTAAGATCAATCTAAATTTAGACAGAGAATAAATGATCGTTTGTTAATGTATAAGTTACCACTTTTGTTGAATATCTTGATTGAACTTCAAATATATGAGTATTGTTAGAATGTAAAACAAAAATTCCTAAGTGAGTTACTGCTGAGCTTGATAAACTAGATTTTGACTAGAATACAATTTTCATCAGAAACTGATGTCAGCTGAAGAATCAATGAAAACTGGAGATGAGAATGAAGACCTCTGGGTTACGGCTAGTGGCTCAAAGGTGTCATGTTCTTTCAGAGAAAACTGAAAGACTTCGGACTTCATTCCACCTATAATTGTTTATACTCACCGCTGAGTATTAGATTTTAAACTAGAATAATACACATATTCAAAGCTCCTAGATTATCAGTTATTCTCTAGTTGATAATAGTTCATGACAGAAGGTATATTTTGCGATAGTGGTGATTTGTAACTCAAGAGGATGAATTTAGTGAATTGAGAATCTTTGATTAAAGTTGTTTATTCAAGAAGTTTTCATTGTCTTTCAAAGCAACAACAACAACAATGATACAAACTTAATATAGAAGTGAGCTATTAGAACTATTGATTTCAGAATTGCATAAATTAAACACGTTAATTTACAGATGTTCAAACTTAATGGTTTGAGAAAACTTAACCATTGGTTAATTAGCTACTTTGATACACTGATCGGCATCAAATAACAAAACCTGAACAAAAGCAACTTTGTTTTTTTACTCACTGTAAAATTTTCGCTAATATTGAGGTATGTACTCAAGTAGACATAGACTGATTCGTTATTTGACAAAATTATTACACTCCTTTAATTTTTTAATCAGTTAAATATGTGAGGATATACTATTATAGGTAGAACGAATCACAGATCAATCTCATTTTAAGGTACTATTGAAAACCAGTGATTACTGGACAGCTTTATTCATCCGTATATAGAACTTACCAATTATGTGTGTACACGACTCAAGACGGGTTCAAACATAGAAGCTTCAGGTGCAATGGCAAATTATGAGTCACAGTAACAACTGAGCCTCTGTCCAGTTATGCAGTTCCAACTCCAATCAGCTTCAGATGTAGGGGTGTTGAGTTCGTACTACCGGGCACTCCCACACTATCATGGAATGTCTGTTCACTGACTCCTGGTTTTACATAGTATTTAGACTGATATCATTCTGTGACGAATGACGCTTACAAATTAAGTTGATTTCCATCAATCTCCCTGAATGAAAATGCATCACGATAGTTCTTCGAAGTACTACACAAATAATAATATTCACTCGATAGATAGAATTCCAGTTTGGTGAAATTCACTAAGATCGTACAGTTTACCTCAACAAATATACACGAATGTTTTTAACAGACCCATATTATATTTAATCAATTCATGTATGTTTCACAAATGTGTCTAATAATGGTTGGTATAAACGAAAATTCATAATCCCCATGAAGACCTAAACAACTATATAATTTTCACTGATGAACTCACGAAGTGATTTTAGCCAAACCACCTCCGGAAACCTGGAAGTACTGGACGTCTGTCCCATCCTAGCATGGGATTTTTCGGTAGTGTCTATTCACGATTCCACACGTGGGAATCGAACCCAGAATTTTTGGTATCAGGCTCGAACACCTAACCTCTAGACCATAGAAACAGCATCCATTGGTGTTAATATCTAGTATGAGTCAACTCACGATCTTGCACAACGCTTCATCCACTGCATCTCGTGGATAAGATTGTCTTCATAGTCTCATTTGTAAAAGTCACAACGTCTCGCATTTATATGGAATAATCAATGAAGTGATAATAATTATGTATATTACCACTGAAATATTTGTAGTGTAGTTTTTAATACTAGCAGATAAAATAATTTGATAAACGAACCGTTAGACCAACTAGAAATGGCATAACGAACAAAAAGTATTTAAAAAATCATGGTCATCATGAGCCAAACAGTAAAGTTTTATATTGACTCACCATTTAAACAACCTATTTTTATGTAGATGACTACCTCCAATTCCTCAATATCAAAACATTTTTCATGGGATATCAAATCAATTAGACTAATACTCACATTGCTTAGTGACCTATAGAATACTGTCAGCATAAAAGAACTAGACAAGCACAACATTTGTCACCACTCAATGATTAGTCAGTCTAAATATTCTAGTCTCTGGGGCATAGCTAAATGGTAACGTCTCATAGTGTGAAACTGGATTATGTGAATTTGAATGCACAAAAAAACAACATTCCTCTCAAGATTAAAGGTATACTTTACTGATGAGTACAAAGTAATATAAACTTAAGTCCAGTGTTTCATACACACTACTTATAAATATCTAACAGCTCGATAGTCAGAACATGATATCAGTTCATGAAGTTATATCATTCTAAATTGATTTATAATGTATATGACCGCACACAAGATTAAATAGTAAAAACTGGTGGTATATAAGGCATATATTGTGGAAATTATAAAACTATATCACAAAGCAAGCCTTAACTTGGAATCCTCAAGGAAAAACTGAGAATAGGCAGACATTAAAAGAGTGAATAGAACTTGAAAACGACTGAAAAAGAGAATTCAGATCAGAATAGGTTGAAGAATCTTGATCGACGGACTTAGCTTCACGAGGAGTAACAGGTGTATGTAAGTAAGTAAGTAAGTAATTCCTATATTTTGATAAATTGTGAAAGGTAATAATAAACTTTTCTTTATATTAGAATGTTATTGCTGTGAATGTAAGTCCGGCTAGTTATCATGTAATATTATTCGCCAATCGAAATACGACTTATTCACTCTTATACTGTAATGAACCAATGACGTTCGACCGGTCTGATCAACCTAGCATCCTTATTGGTCCTTTGCTCACCTAGCCCGTTCAGTTGAGTACAGAACACCGATAACAGCTTCCGCTATGCGAATCATTTATTTCAGACATACTTAGTTTATATACCAGCCAAATAGACCTCATCGCATCATAAAATAGGAAATAACATTTTTACAAGATCAGGCTAAAAAGTGGCTATGAACGTGGGAGACTGGAATCCATAAACTGAGTATGACTTAAGAACAATTAATCGTATCATAATAATCTATGGGTCAAAATGAATCTTATAATAAGAGGGATATAAATATACATAATCTAGTTACTGAATAGTTATACGATAGGAATATACATATAATATTAGTTCATTCATAGCTCTTTGTTAGCGGGACATAGACTGCATTAAAGCATGCTCAATGCACGATTGCTTTGGTGCACGCTGATTGGCTAATTCTTATCTAATAAACGTTAGCCAATACTTAGTGAACACTCTAGAAATCTCATGTAAAAACTATGAATATACTAACGTTTTCCCTATTGTGCTTCTTACTAACATCTAACTTTATCATTTGGAATATAATCTCTTCCCTGTTCCACCGTGTTCTGATTTAGGGACTTGTCAAGTGAATCGGTGTCCAAGATTACTGAGCAATAGGAATAGCTGGATCATAACTGTAAGAAAGAGATTATAACATTCTTGGAAGTTAGTCGTAATTTAATCTTCGCTAGGATATAACAGTTACATTGATTTATTTACACTTGGACTGTGATTCATAAGTCTTGTAAATAATAAAATTTGCAATATTCCATTCATTTATTATGAAAATAAAATTAAAACTGACTTACATGAAACAAGAATATAAGCTGAAGCTGTATCACTTTCAGAATCATGATGAATAGTTTTACATTTGTATTCACCAGTATCGACAAAATCAATATTCGTGACGATAAGCTGACATATTGGCAATAATTTCTCTGTATACTGTCCTATAATAATTTGAAATTTAGGATCACCAAAAGTATTTGTAGTTGTATTGGTTTGAAATAAGCAACTTCCAATTTTATTCTAATAAAGCAAAACAGATATTCCTATTTATATACTTTATAACAAAATATGTTTGTAATAATGATGATAATAGTAATAATGTTTGAATTATACAATATTTAGTTTGGCGTAGGTAGACGAATAGTATTAGTAGTCTTCAGATCAGATGTAGTTCTAAAAGTCAAGTAAATGAACCTACACGTGATTAGTAAGTTCTGTCATACTACACATTAGTTAGAAATGTAAATCATAGGATACCTGTTTAGTGATCTAAAGGTTGGGGGATCTCTAAGACACTGTGGAAAAGGAGCATATTCATGAGGTGTTTTATACTCGGATAAAATGGGTGTCCAATGCTTTTTGATTTTCACTGGTTGTTTAGCTGATATTATTGTGTTATGTGGACCGTCCAAACTAGCTACTTGAATGGGAAAACTAACAGAAAGTGGAAAATAAAGGTTATATGCAAAATTCAATCATAAATGTAGATGCTTATCACTCAAAAAATGAGGCCAGATTTTCAACCAATGGACATTTTTTATTTCTTTAGAAGGTGAAGCCGAACCTCGATCAATAACTTGATGTTGTCAGGATCCTTCATTCATCATTGGTCCATACTTAATTGAACCGGCTCATTGTATAAACGCAGAAAGCTCAAGCGTTTTTTTTTTAAATTTACGTGGCTTGTAACAGTGTAATTCAAGTTCAGATTAAGTTTTCGTTACGTGCCAGTGATGAATACTGACTATTCTAAAGGATTAGAAAACTACTAGGTCAATATCAATTAATTTAAATCTGAAAAATTAAAAAAAATTCGGATCGAAAATCATCAGTGCATAGTTGAATGGTTGTACTGATGTGCCATCATCCCAAAAAAGTCAACTGAACCCTAGAAGCCACGCCTACTTTTCAAGTGGGAAAGATGATATAATAGGTTAATCAGAAATTTTCTGAATGATGAATGGATGTAGTTACTCAGGAAATTGCTTTCATTCCTTAATGATATACAACATTGTTTGTTTAATTTTCTAAGGGATATGTATACATATATGTCGATTCTGTTTAGTCGATAAACTTCCTTCTTCGCTCTCGATATTTTGATTTGAGTAATCCGTTGAGCTTATGTATAAGAAGACTGCGTATTAATATCAACTCTTGGGCATAGTTCATTACAGCATGTACAAGACAGTTGGAATAAATAGATTATCAGTGAACCAAAAAAGACTATAAAACAGATATCTATCACTCAATATAATCAGTTGATATAATCCCCGTAATTTTTAAAAATAATAATCCATAAACAGTTGCTTTTCTGGTTGTGCACAGACCGAATTGCGACACTACGGATCATCGTCGAACAATCAGTTGAGGGGAACTCGTCACTATAAATCAATTTCATTGACTATGAGAAGGCATTTAACGGTGTAGATAGGAGGATGTTATGGAAACTTCTTCGACACTACAGAGTTACTGAGAAGATTGTCAACATTATCCGGAACTCATACGACGGACTACAGTGCAAGGTCGTGCATGGAGGACAGCTGACAGATGCATTCCAAGTAAGGACCGGAGTCAGATAAGGCTGTTTACTCTCTACCTTCCTCTTTCTTCTGGTGGTCGACTGGATTATGAAGACCTCGACATCTGAAGGAAAACACGGCATACAATGGACAGCTCAGAACCAATTAGACGATTTGGACTTCGCAGATGACCTAACCTTCTTATCACATACACACGAACAAATGCAGATAAAGACAGCCAGTGTAGCAGCAGTCTCTGCATCAGTAGGCCTCAGTATACACAAGTGGAAGACCAAAGTCGTCAAATACAACACGGAGAACAGCAATCCAATCACTCTTGATGGCGAAACTCTAAAAGATGTAAAATTCTTCACATACCTGGGAAGCATAATCGATGAACAAGGATGTTTAGATGCAGAGGTAAAGACAAGGTTTGGCAAAGCAAGGGTCGCATTCCTACAATTGAAGAACATGTGGAACTCAAAACAACTTTCAACCAATATCAAAGTGAGAATCTTCAATACGAATGTCAAGGCAGTCAGTTCTACAGTACTGAGATGAAACTTGGAGAACTACAACAACCACCATCAAGAAGGTACAAGTATTTATAAATGGTTTTCTACGCAGGATACTCAACATTCATTGGCCGGATACCATCAGCAACAGCCTTCTGTGGGAGAGAACAAACCAACTTCCAGCTGAAGAGGAAATTAGGAAAAGACGATGGAAATGGATAGGACATACATTACGCAAATCATCAAACTGCATCACGAGGCAAGCCCTAAATTGTAATCCCGAAGGGAAGCGGAAAAGTGGAAGGCCAAAGAACACATTACGTCGGGGAATAGAAGGAGATATGAAAAGGATGAATTACGACTAGAAGGATCTGGAAAGGATTGCCCAGAACAGGGTTGGATAGAGAATGCTGGTGAGCGGCCTATTCTCCTCCACGAGGAGTAACAGGCGTAAGTAAGTAAGTTGCTTTTCTACGTTTATCTAATTTAGATAATTTAGGTGAAATTGAAATGATATTGTGTCATTTATTGTAAATCATGTTTCTGATGAAATATCAAATTGTTTAAATTAGATCTATAATAAAGACTTATTCTATTTATTTGTTTTAAGAAAGTGATTTTTTCAAGTACTTTATATACTGTTTACCCTGAAAGTTTAAAATACTTCTATAAGACTGATAATAGTCTACCTGAACTCACTCTTAATAGTGACCCATTGAAACTAATTAGAAAATTCGTGTATTTTGGTGTGTGAGTGGTGTTAATATGATTAATTTAGGTTAAACCAAAGACAGAAAGATGTCTATCATTCTGAATCATTCTTAAGTGTTTTGTGAAGTAAGTATTAACAATTAATTTCAAGTATACAGCTCTTTAATATGACTGACTCTTTTCTGTGTTTATGAAACATTTCATCCATGATCTGGATGAGATCAATGACTCTCTGTTTTTGGTTATCATTCTTTTCAAAAGGTGCTCTGATTTAGTAAAAATATCTTTTGCTTAAGATATGTACAGTGAATAAATTACGAAGTATTACAAACTAAAATATTAGCTTCTGTGGTATAATCATCTTTTACTAATAAACAATTGATTGAACTATTTCCTGATGCTAGAACTGAATGAAGAATGTGAAAATCTTGTCAGTTTGATGTATTATGGAATAAAGTATAGATCCATTGATTTAGTATCAGTTAATTGTTCAAAGCTAACCAAAATAAAGTCCTGGAAATAATACAATAAAGTCAATTAAGACAATATTAGATATGGATTAGAACAGAATCTGTTGTGACTTTATGTTCGGCTTTTTATTACGTGATTTATCCACCAATCAAAATACGACTTATACAATCTTAGCACTGTGCCAAACCAATGACGTTCGACCTGTATGAGCAGCCTAAAGTCCTTATTGGTCCCATGTCCACCTAGCCCGTCCACGTGAGTCCAGAACACCAATACCAGCTTCCACTATGCGACGCGAATCGAATCGAATAACTTATTTCAGACATACTGGGTTTATATATCAACCAAACAGACCGCAACGCTCCATAAAATAGGAAATAACATCTGTACACAATAAAACCAAAAAGTGGCTGTGAACGTGGGAAGCAGTAGTCAATAAACTGAACATAGCTTAAGAACAGTAAATCGTACAATAATAAATTATAGGTCAAAATAAAGCTTATAATAAGAGGAATATAAATGTACATAATCTAATTATTGAATAGTTATACCACAAGAATGTATAGATAATATTAGTCAACTAATATGTCTCAGAAGTTACTCGTGATTTAATCTTCACTCGGATATAACAGAATCCAATGATAGTTGTGCTATAGTTCATCACTTCATTTTTCATAACGAATACAACGTATCTCTTTATCGAACATACTATATATGTAATCAGTATTCTTAATCAAATGACATCTTCGATAATTTCTCGTTATATTGTTCATTTTCAGTTTCTCCATACCTTTTCTAGTAAGTTTTGTTTTTGGACTTAACTAAATAGTTTTTGTGTAGTAATAATACATAATTGTTGTGGATGCGCAGGAATAGACCAATAATTATCATGTTAAGTCCAATGGTGTCCTTGGACTTTAAATGGGATTTCCTATTGGTCGATATCTGTTCACTTGTACAAAATGTTGTTTTCTATTTTTATGGTACGCTGTGGTATGCTTGACTGGTATATAAACAAAGTATGTTTGAAATATAGTGATTCATATCTCAGAGGTTGTGACTTGTCTTCTGGACTCAACTGGCTGGGCTGGACAGGGAAGCAGGACCAATTAGAACCCTAGGTCGTTCTACGTGTTTGTGCGTCTTTGGTCCGATCAACAATTCGCTACCCCTTCATCCGCAGCATTATTTTTCACAGTCATAACAATTGGCGACGGGGATGGGATAAAAATTTTGAACCTTGTAACTGGACGCGATTCAGGCTAATTGTTTCGACCAATCAGCATCCAGATTGTCACCAGCGTCCTTGAGCAACATTGGACATTATTCCTACAGTTAATTTTCATTGCTGGTGCTGAAAAAATGACTACCTGTTCCGATCAATTACAGCTTCTACTTGAGCAACAACAGCAGTGCTTCAAAAATAGCCAGTTGAATTTTTTAGAAAATTTACGCACACTGTTGGTAAATTTTCCATGTTTCAGAAATATCAAATTCAGAAACATTCCCTGTTGTGGGTTCAAATCCCACTGTGCCTGAAAGATGTGAGGTATCCAGCTTACAAGAAGAACCTCTCGTGTCAGAAAATGTTTCCCGTGCATCAAATAATGGTCAGAAATCTAATACGAATTTCAAAGATGCTGTTTGTTTTAGTGACCTATTATCCAGTGATAGAATTTTGAAGAGGTCTGAAGAATATGTTGCACAAGAATCAAACCTTAATGACCTCATGTCTGGTGTCGCTAATCCTCATCATCTAGTCAGTCTTAGTGAACCCTCTACTCAATGCGCGAAATATGCTTTAATTCGAATCAGACTAACTGTTGCTTGGGTATATGAGGACCCAACGTTATTTCGTGGGGGAGGATGAACCCAGAAAATTTCAAAATCCGGATATCGACTCCGGATCTTCAAAAAAAAGGGGAGGTGTTGTGGATGCGCAGGAATAGACCAATAATTATCATGTTAAGTCCAATGGTGTCCTTGGACTTTAAATGGGATTTCCTATTGGTCGATATCTGTTCACTTGTACAAAATGTTGTTTTCTATTTTTATGGTACGCTGTGGTATACTTGACTGGTATATAAACAAAGTATGTTTGAAATATAGTGATTCATATCTCAGAGGTTGTGACTTGTCTTCTGGACTCAACTGGCTGGGCTGGACAGGGAAGCAGGACCAATTAGAACCCTAGGTCGTTCTACGTGTTTGTGCGTCTTTGGTCCGATCAACAATTCGCTCCCCCTTAATCTGCAGAATTATTTTTCACAGTCATAACAATAATAAATAATTGAAAAATGTATATTCTATTTATAACATACAAAAATAATAAGGTAAACAATGGAAAATAAAATCCATTACTTACAGTATTTAAATACCATTCAATAAAAACTGGTGTAGTCATAACACTACATGCATGTTGTATTGTAGATCCAGCATAAGTAATTTGATTTGTTGGACGAAGTACAAAATTACCTTAAAATAAAAATAAAGAAAATTGATTTATATATTTTGTGTGTATCAATTATATACATAAGTTCAAAGACTATTAATAAGTAGTTCATAACATTCCAAGTTTTAATTCGTTTTATATTCAAGATACACATTTTAAAATTAACAATCGTACGTATTATACATTAGTGAAAATAAAGAAAAACAAATGACAAATAACATGGAAACATAATTGATTCATGTTTATAACTTCTTTGTAAACATCATGTTAACACAAACAAAACATAGTGAAATATAATAAATAGAAAACTAATTAAAAATAGATGTTAATGATGTCACAGCGTAGAATAACAATGATAACAAAAATATCAATGGCTGAAATTATGAGTTGATCGAAGCTAGACCAACATGGAAAACCTCTAAGCACTGGACGGCCGTTTCGTCCTAGTATGAGACTCCTCAGCAGTGCTCAACCAGGTCTGTTGTGAGATATCAGCTCACTGAAGACAATGGTGTACAGTGGTGCAATTTCATGGATTGGTTGAAGTTAGACATTAACACCGTTTGATGTCGGCTCAGTGTTCTAGAAGTTAAGCATTCGCGCGCGAGACTGGTAGGTCATGGGTTCGAATCTTGCAAAGGCCGGGATCGTGGATGTGCTGAGGAGTCCTATACTAGGACGAAACAGCTTTCCAGTGCTTCCAGGTTTTTCAAGGTGATCTACCTTTCATCGACTCATGAATCCAACTATTACTGTTTCTATACTGCCTTAAACTTTCCAATCTCTTATGAATTTTTCAAGATTCTATACTAATGGTGTTCTAAAACTGTTTTACACATTTAATTGTGGAAAAGACTTCGAAAGATTTTACTTAGTTTGTAACATATATACTCAAGAATAGCGACTCATTATTCACATTAATATACCATAGTAATTGTTTACCAAAGTAAGAAACTACATTATGCTCTGCACTAAACATCTATGATATATATATATCATGTACAGTACATTGGATTTTTCCAGCATCCTCACTAAAAATAAATATGTCACCTTTGTAATTTAAGTTGACTTATTAGTTATTAGATGTAAACTCAATTCTAAGAAAGATGAACGAACAAAATCTCGTTCCAAAATTCTTGTCATTCATTATAATAAGTGAGTAGAAAGTGATATATAGGGAAGAACTCTAGGTCTCAGTCTTCAGTACTAAAAATAAACACATCATTCCTTAAGCTACCTTGACTACAAGTTATGCATTTATATTTATTTACTTATTTACGCCTGTTGCCCCTCATGGAGGAGCATAGGCCGCTCAACAGCACTCTCCATCCAACCCTGTCCTGGGTAGTCCTTTCTAGTTGCTGTTCATTCTTATAATTTTTGTTCCTGATTCTTCGGCCTTCCTCCTTTCCATTTTCCTTCAGGATTCCAAATTGGAGCTTGCCTCGTGATGCAGTTTGGTGATTTCCTCAATATGTGTCCTATCCACTTCAAACGTCTTTTTCCAATTTCCTCTTCGTCTGGAATCTGGTTCTCTTCCACAGTAGGTTGTTGCAGATGGTATCCAACCAACGGACATCCAGTATCTTGCGCAGACAATTGTTTATAAATTCTTGTATGTTTTTGATGATGGTTGTATTAGTTCTCCAAATCTCAGCTCCATACAGCAGAACTGTCTTGACGTTCGTATTGGAGATTCTGACTTTGATGTTGGCTTGCAGACAGTTCATTTGAGTTTCATATGTTCTTTAGCTGTATGAATGCTGTCCTTGCTTGGCCAATCCTTGCCTTTATGTCTGCATCAAATCCTTCTGGTTCATCGATGGTGCTGCCTAAGTACGTGAAAGTTACCATCTTTTCCAGAGCTTCTCCGTCAAATGTGATTGGGTTGGTGTTTTCCGGGTTGTATTTGGGGATCTTGTTTTTACTATGTGTATGTTGAAGCCTACTAATGCAGAGGCTGCTGCTACACAAGTTGTCTTCATCTGCATTTATTCGTGTGTATGGGATAGAAAAGCCATGTCATCCGCGGAGTCCAAATCTTCTAACTGATTTCGAGCTGTTCATTGTACTCCATGATTTGCCTTAAATGTCGAGGTCTTCACAATCCAGTCGACCACCAGAAGGAAGAGAAAGGGGGAGAGTAAGCAGCTTTGTCGTACTCCGGTTCTTACGTGGAATGCATCTGTCCTCCATGCACAACTTCACACTGTAGTCCGTCGTATAAATTCCGTATAATGTTGATGATCTTCTCAGGTACATCATAGTGTTGAAGAAGTTACCATAAGTTCCTTCTCCCCACACTGACAAACGCCTTCTCATAGTCATTGAAGTTGGTTTATAGTGACGAGTCCCACTCAAATGATTGTTCAGCAACGATCCATTGCGTCGACCGATCCTTATTGAAGCCGGTTTGTTGATCTCGAAGTTAGGGATCTACTGAGTTTTTCGTCTCATTCAACAGCATAGTTGAATACTTTTCCTAGTGTCTCTATAGTTCTCACATTTGCTCAGATCTCCTTTCTTTGGTGTATTGATGAGATGTCCTTCGTTCCAGTTCGTCGGCACTTGTTCATCCTCCCAAATCTCCTTGAATAGGGTGTGGATCATGTTTGCAGTTACTTTTATTTCTTACCTTAGTGCTTTGGCTGGTATATTGTCTGGTCCTGCTGCTTTTCCGCTCTTGATTTGTCTGATGGCCATCCTGATTTCTTTGATGGTCGGTGGAGTGATATCTATAGGAAGGTCTGTGTGTGCTGCTTCGATGTCCGGTAGATTCAACAGAGCTGGTCTATTTAAGAGTTCCTCAAAGTGTTCTACTCATTTTCCCCCTTACTCTTGAATCTCAGTGATTGCCTTGCATTCTTTTTCTTTGAACAGTCTCTCTGGTTTACCATATTTCCTTGCCAGATTTGTCGTCGTGTCATAATGTTTTTTCATAGTTCCTTCTCTCGTTAATTGTTTCGCTGTCGTTGTTAGATCTTCCATTTACTTATGCCTGTCGTCTTTAATGCTCTTCTTCACTGGTTTGTTTGCTCAGCTTGTGCCTTGACGTTCTCTGTTCTTGTTAGATTGTTGTTAATTGCTGTCTTCTTTTTCTTCCTGTCTTGAAATTTGTTCAGGATTTCCATAGAGATTCATTCCTTATGATGATGCTTTTTGAGTCTCAGCACCCCGTGATACGTTAAAGTTTATGCTTCTTTGATCGTGTTTTTGAGAGTTATCTTGAATTGGTTGAGTTTGTTAGTAACACGAAGAAAGGCTGCATTGAACCTTTGTAATGCTGTCTGCCCAGTTTTCTAATGTTTCTTTAGCTTCGGTTTCATTTTGGAAACTGCCAGATGATGATCTGAAGCTATGTCAACTCCTCTTTTGGTTCTTACGTCTTCCATTGTCCTTCTGAATTTTTTTATACAAATATGATCTATCTGGTTCTCTGTGGTGTGATCCGGTTAGACATATGCAGCTTTGTGTATGAGTTTGTGTGGGAATATTTGGTCACCTATAACCATATTTTTGGAGGCATATACATTAGCAAATCTGTCACCATTTCTGTTCCTTTCTCTCAGTCAGTCCATGTTGTTTCATGATATCTTCATATCCTGTGTTGTCCATTCCAACTTTGGCGTTTAGGCCTCCTATCAGGATGGTGAAATTCTTTCTTGGTAACTTCCCTATAATTGATTGCAGCCTCTCGTAGAACTGATCTTTATTGTAGTCGTTGCTATCATTGATGGATGCATAATATGGGATAACATTCATCGTGATTTACTCCTTCTTTGTTTTGAAGGATGTTTTGGTGATTCTGGATGCATGAAATTCCCACCTTATAAGTGCTTTTTGGACAGCATTAGAGCGACATCTCTTCTGAATCTTACGTTTTTTGTCCAGCTTGGGCCCAATGGGTTTCACTGATTCCGAGTAATGCTAAGTTGTTTTTCATCATTTCCGTGGCTATTTGGCTGGTCTTCCCAGTTTTCTACATTGTTCAGACGTTTCATGTATCTATCTAATCTTTATTACTCATTACAAAATTATTTGTATTCAATCTTTATGGAAGACTATGTTAGTGTCAGCAGGTATCTTCTTTAACCTCTTTAAATCTATTGAAATTCCAAAGTTTATCAATATACTATTGCAATGGAATTCGTGATAATTAAACTGAACGAATGAATGAGTTAAATTATCAACAACCTATGAGATTACAAAATAGTATGGTATCTTTATATTAGTTCAATAAATTTACTGATTTGATGGGTGTAATGAAACCAGAATTCAATTTTGTCATTTAATCAATCAACTATTTTGATTGGTTTGACGTTTTATTTTTCATTTAATTACGTAAATATGACTGTTTCTTAGAGTAAGGCCTTAAGAAGAATTACTTGGTAGTATAATTGTTTGTTTAAATGTCTTGTTGTAATTTCTGTTCAATTAAATGATCTAAAATACAGTTTGCAGTATATTCATGGTATTTAGAAAACATTGTAATGAAAATAGACACCTATTTATTTAGAAAACGCGGTATTTTGCAAAGATCATATTACTATTATTATTCTACTGGGCAACTGAAACCGTCGTGAATGCGATAGCTATATTTATTCTAATCCCTAACAAAATTTGTGCACAAACAGATGTATTACCTATTTTTGGATCAATATTTAATTCAGAAGACATTAAATGTTAAAATGGTATTTTTTAATAAACTTATAAATTGAAATATAAATAACTCTAATAATTCTTTATAAAAATTTAAGAAGTTTGATTACTTCCTTGAAGAGACTCAGACCAAGTCGACGAAGTAATCATCATTCTCAAACTGCTTGTTCAGATTCTGATAAATATTTCTATATGTATCTGTTTTAAAGCAGAGATAAGTGGTGGTTGGTAGTAGAATTCAGGATACACTTTTCGTCCTGTATGGGATTCATTCAGCGGGATATACCTGTACCCCAGAGATGATATTCCCTCCTGAACCCTAATCCAGTAGCATTCACTTTAAAGTTTATAAGAGTGTGGATCA